ATCCCTACACGAACTCTGGCGGGTGCACAGTAAAGACGATCGGTGGCATCGGCTGCGGAAAGAAGGAGAAATAAAGCATGCAACCACGCCACTGTTTCTTAGGCTGCTGCTCCTCGTGTTGCTGATGCTATCCTGCCGCTGCTGCTGTTGGCTTTAACCTGCTGATCCCTGTGTTGGTGTTGGCGTCGCAGCCGCCGCTCCAGGTGCTCCTCCGGCCGCTGACATTGAACCCCCTGGTGCAGCAGCTACTAAAGCTGCAGCCATAGTGAAATATGATCCACCTGTAGCACAGAGACTTCAGTCAAGTTAGTCTCATGTTCTTCGCAGTAGCTGGTCAGCCCTCGGGGGCGAGCGGTTGTGGAGACCCTGCTTTCTTCCCTGGCTTAGCGAGAGGCTTGGTCTGCCTGTAGTTTGANGGGCGAGCGGCTGTGGAGACCCTGCTTTCTTCCCTGGCTTAGCGAGAGGCTTGGTCTGCCTGTAGTTTGAAAAATGAAAACTGCCTGATAAAAGCCTACGAGCTGCTGCTGCATGCGCTGCTGCGGCTGCGCCTCGGTACCGCGAGCCGCCGAGAGTCACTCGATAGGCTCGAGGGGGCCCTCCACGCGCAGTGGTAAAAAATGCCTCTCGCGCTAAACATCTGGCATCTGCAGCTACTGCTTGTAACTTTCAAGTGTTTTTCATGGGTCCTCTTATGCGATTGATGTGGCTGCTGCAACGGTTCACGCCCGCTGCCGCTGCCTTCGATGCCGGCCCAGGGGCCCCCGGGGGCCCAGTGGGGCTACAGCAGCAGCAGCTGCACCCATATTGTGTATTAAAGACTACTATACTTTACTAAGCATATTTTCACTTCTTTACGGTTGCTTGCCTTTAGTCCCGTATCAACACTGACTACAAAAAAGGGCGAGAGGCATCAGGACAACTCCCCTGCCGCTGCTGTTCTTGCTTGGATGCAGCACCAGCACGAACCACGCCACCGTAGGACGAACAGCACANCCCTGCCGCTGCTGTTCTTGCTTGGATGCAGCACCAGCACGAACCACGCCACCGTAGGACGAACAGCACATGCACATAGCCGTTACATACTAACCGCCACACCCACTGCAGAAACTGGAGACCCTAAGGGGGTCCACAGATGCCAAAGAAGGCGGCTCAACTCGGGTGTCTGCACGGCAGCAGCTGCGACGGCAGGAACACTGCGTTACAGATAGCTGCAGCAGCAGCTATAGCAGGGGCACCAGCACCATCATCACCATCATTCCGAAGGGGAAATTCCTCATTTCTAAGGGCCACAGGCACTGCTGGCTCCTGTCACCGGAAAGCTCCTCGGTGTCTTCGCGTTGCTGCTGCTGCAGCCTGTGCTGCATCTCTGCTGCAACAACAACAACAAACGTGGCTGCGCTGTAGCACAAGCACCAGCAGCAGCAGAAGCGCGCTTGCCTTTATTGCCAGTCCA